CAGCTTCCTATTTTCGAAGGGAATTATTTCTAGGTTCCATGTATTTTGAAGAAATGCCGTTTGAAGGATGAATTGCAATGGTTTTCGTCAAGATTTCGCAGAATTCTGTTCTTCGATCAGGGTCATCTTCAGTTAATTGGTTACCTTTTTAATTGTGTATGGACGATACATATTCCTCTTCAAAAGTCTCTGCACAGTAGAAGGAGACACCTCACAAACATTCACGACGGAATAAGTAGACTGTTCAGGATTAACTACCATCCCACCAATTATTTTCACTTGATGAAGAAAAGATAATTGAAACTTTCTATATTTTTACCACTTTTATTTGTAACTGACGTTACTGCTTACAAACTTAATGTGAAAGTTTGAAAATGTCCTTATAGAACGAAACTGCAGTAACGCAAGTTACAAATAAAAGTGGTAAAAAACATAGAAAGTTTCAATTCTCTTTTCTTCATTATGATTTCTTACCACGTAGTAACGGCTACATCCATCAATTTATTTGCACTTGCTGTTCTTCTGCAATGGACGGATGATCTGGGGGCTTTTTGTTATGTACACTACCAGTAGTTGTGAATTTGGATACAAGTTCCCTCAAATATTTTCTACAGAAAGGACGAATCGGAAATCGTTCATTGAAAATCCTTTCGGTCTCGTGAGAGTTACGCATCGCACCGTTAATGAAAATCGCTCCAAATAGACGAGAATTGACCATTTTGGAGATTGTTGACTTGGTACTTTTCTACTAGTAAATTCAAAAACTAAATGAGAATATTTTAACTGAACAATGATGTTCATTGTCGTACTGACATTTTTCGTAGTTTTTATGAACAAAAAATAACTTAATAAATCTTATCGGATTGTTGAAATTGCCATATGGCAGATAAAAAGGAATATTTCTAGAAATATCGAAATTAATGTGTTTGTCTTCAGGAAATTATTGAATGTTCCGCCATTTTGTAGTAGGTGAAGATATTGACTTTATATCCTAGTGTTATGAAGTATTTGTCAGGAACTTCAAAATGATGCGTCCAGGTGGCGCCCAGTCACCATCTTGGACGTTTCATCTGTCAATTTTACTTCAAAAAGTTTGCATGCATTAATTTCATTATCCCAAATTTCAATTTTTTTATTCGACCCGTTCAAAAAGTGAAAGAGGGGGGACATAAAAGAAATGCACCGTATAACATATTCAAGATTTCCATACTTTTCGATGGAAATGTGGAATACCAAACAGTTTTTTTTCTAAGCTATTCTCTCCTGAAAAAGTATACTTACCCCTTGTTATCCATACATTTCAATGACAGGTCAGTGTTTAAAGAAAAAAACATGGTGAAGTTAACCATAGCATTTCAACGTACGATACCGATAAGGAACGTATACAAGATGTCTCAAAATACGTCGTTCAAGAAAAAAACATAAAGATATAATCTCAGTTGAGGAAAAGTCGTTTCAAAGAGGTTAGAACTTAGGCCGACTAGTTATCAACCGAAATCTTATCCACTAATCTATCAAACCTACGTTACGACAAAGCGGGGTTATTTTATAGTATTGTAACAAATTAAGGAATTAACTGTCTCAAACAAATTTATTTCCAAATATATTTCACTAATCACAAACTAATTTACTTACAACACTTCTCAACTAACACTTAATTCATTTCGACTATTTGAATTCCTTGTTTAACCGCTCGATTCACTTTCTGAACTGCCCTGCTTATATAATGTAACGGTCCTTTCTAGAAATATGTAGTCAGTTCGGTACACGACTAGAGTTTTACCGGCGGTTGCCGACTGCATCCTTTCGCGGTGACGTCTTGTGTTTGTTACATGATTCGGCCGGCATACTGGTCAGGGGCGGCTTCAGATTCGTTACATTGCCCCCTTTTCAAAGACGTTTTGTCCCGAAATGTCATCGTTTCCAACATGCTTTTCACAATTTTTCAATCCAGCCTGTCAAGCCCAGAAGCTAATTTCGGTATTGCCAAGTCCACAAGATTCTGGTCGAGCATCGGGTCCCTCAGTCTGGTAAGACTCCTACAGACATCTCGTCTCGAGAATGATTTTTGATCACAAAGTAGAAAATGTTTTTCTGACCCTTCTTCAACTGTAGCACTCCTCCGACTTTTGGATTCTGTTCTCGTAATGTTTGGAGCTGACCGAATTGAATACCACAGCGATATCCCTGGACATTTGGAGATCCTCTGACATACAATGAGCTAGTGCGTAATCAGCTATAACCTTGAGTTACCCCATGTACGACTTTCTGCCCGTTCGAGTTTGAAGACGTGAACTTCTGGAACGTCTTTTCATCCTTTAGTGGTCTGAGGGCCCGAACTTGGTCGTAATTTCCAGCATAAGGAGCCAATCTATTAAAATGGACGACCCTAGGCTTTCCTCGAGGTGGGTTATGGATTCGGCGGACGAGGTCATTTATCTTCTTCATGATTTTGTACGGACCTTTTCACGAGTTCCGCAACATTGGTGATAAACCACGGCGTCGCTTATGGTTGTACAGCCAAACTAGGTCACCGGTTTCGGATACTTCAGCATTTGCCTTGATGTCATAGACCTTCTTCATCCTATCGTTGGCACTCCAGATGTTCAGACGGACTCGTTCATGGATGTCATCCATACTCTGCCGAAGCTTGCTGACATAGTCTTTTCCGCAGTGTCTTGTTCTGGCGGCGTCCCAAATTTCAGTTCGCAAAAAAGCCGCAGCTCTCGGCTCATTATAATACTGGCAGGGGTTTTACCGGTTGACTCGTGCACTTCCGAACGATAGGCCAACAGGAATAGGTAGATGTACTGTTCCCAGTCTCTTTGGTGGTCAGAAACTACGTTGAACAAGTGTCGGTCTATGGTCTTATTCATTCGTTCCACCATTATCTAGGACTGTGAATGTAAGGCTGCGGTTCTGGTCTTTCGAAGGTCCAAAAGTGTACACATTTCTTAGAACAGGTTGGACTCGAAATTTCTGTCATGATCCGAATGCAGCTCCAAAGGGATACCGAATCAACATATCCATTCCTTTACAAGGACGTCAGCGACGGTAAAGGCTTCCTGGTTGGACAGGGCATAGGCGTTTGCCCACTTACTGACGTAGTCCAGGATGTATTTGTTCCCATGGTCGGACTCTGGGAACGAACCGGTGATGTCAATGGCGATTCTCTCAAAGGGACTATCCACATTATACTGGCGCATCGGAGCTTTCGGTTGTATCCGAGGTCCGTTACTGGCAGCACATACAGCACACTTCCTGCACCAGTCCTAGACGTATATTTAACCCAGTAAAACCGTTTTCTCACTTTCTGGAGGGTCTTCGTTATTTCCAGATGTCCTCCAGTAACTCTATCATGAATTTCTCTGAGCACCTCCTACCATCTGCAGATAATGTGAGGGAGTTCTATTGGCCCAGTAGGACTAAACCGCTGGCGAATAACCTACTAACTCTTGCCACGATGGCCTTTGATTAACTTTTCTCCATCCGATGACTATATCTTGGTCTTCCTTGATCTCATTATACTACCAGTTGTGACAAAGANTATCTTGGTCTTCCTTGATCTCATTATACTACCAGTTGTGACAAAGAGACAAAGTAAACTGCGTTTCATTAGTTCGGACTTCCATTGTCTAATATCCCTGAAAAAATTCGTAAAAAATGTAAGATTATCTAAAAAATAATTATATTAAGCAAAAAAAAAACAAATATCAATGAAATAGAATAGAAGAAACAATAAAAAAATATTAGATCCACCACTACAATAATGTATTGCCATATCAACATTTTCTGTTGAATAACCTACAGGAAAAACACTAGGTTGACTCTACACCGATTTCTCCAAAGCCTTCTACAGGGTAAATCACGATTTTCTCATGGCTAAGTTCCTAGAGTTAGGTATCCATAGTAATATTTCAAAGTGAATGAAGAGTTATTCAGTGAATATGTTCAGTATATTGAATATGTTGGATGCATATCACGAATGTCTATAGCATCGGGTGTCCCCCAAAGATCGCATACAGGCCCAATACTCTTCATTCAATTTGTAAAATATTTTTCGGTTATCAAACACCACAGCTATTATTCAATGTTTGCAGATGATCTTGAACTTTGTAAGGAAGTTGATAGCTTTTGTGATGCAGAACTGTTACAGCTAAACTTGAAGTAACTTATCTTGTTGGTGTAATATGAACATGCTTCATTTAAATATAAATGAATGTTGTCCAATAACATTCGCTAGAACTGCAAAATCTATTGAATATCCATAAGAAATCAAAATCATTTAACTGATGACATGATACAACTGACCTACACTTGATGAAAATCCATATAACGTATTCAAAACACACTTTAATTTGAGATTTCCACTTAGAAGTTTACAAAAACCGCGACACGTGTTTGGCTATACCATAGCATATTCGGGTGTCACGATATTATGACAGAAATAGACAAAATGTACCGAAAATTGCAGCAGCCGACGCTGATCAACTGAAGAGGTCGCATCCTGCTCCACGACAACGCTCGTCCGCACTTTTCACGAATCAATGATTCGAAAATTAAACGAATTGAGCATCGAAGTTTTGCCTCACTCACCAAATTCCTCAAACCTTTTGACAATCGACTACCATATTTTCAAGCACTTCGATAACTTTCTCACCGGTAGAACCTTCGCCAATCAGGACCAGGCATGAACGGCCTTAGTCGATTTCATCGAATCCCGAGCACACAATTTTTATGCTGACAGATTTAATCGTTGGCATTAGTGCATTGATTCAAATGGTGCTTATTTCAATTAAATTAAATTAGTATTCACCGAGATATACAGTTAAAAGTAGACTGATAAAAGCGGATAACCTAAACAAAACATTATGTAATACTGGAACTTCTGAACTGAAATTAGTGCAACTAAATTATTTTTAACGCCTGAAAACCTATAGTCGCAACGCAAGGGCTTACCAACTTGGCATCAGGGGTGGTATCTGTTATTGCTTTCAATCTCAGGTTTTAGAATTAGTGTATATAAAGTAAACATAAGTGAATTATTTGACACACCATAATGAAATTAACATGCATCTATATCTGATCTGAGATAAACTACTCAAAATGAATATAGAGACATGACCTTAAAATGCAATAAGTAAAAAAATATGTATTATTTTGTCAAATATTTATAAAATAGTTTATAGGTGCCTTTATTAAATTTAACTTACATTGTTTTCAAAATGCTGTTTGGTAATACATAAAAAGAAATACAAATGAGTGTCAAAAACAAATTAAATTTATTTCAGAAAAAATTTAAGAAAAATGTACATTAATAGTTACTACGTCCACCCCAGCTCTAAGAAGTTCGGCACAACGACGAGGCGTGCTTTCCACCAAATTTCTAATTATTTGTTGTGGTAACTGCTCGTAAATCGTCAAAAGAGCATCTGCAACTTGGTTTAGATTTTGGAAGTGTTGATGATCCTTCAAACGTCTTTCCAGTTCATCCCAGAACTGCTCAATAGGATTTAAATCCGGACCATCTCATGACATTAATATTGTGCTCCTGTAAGAAATTCCTCACGACCCTGGCTACGTTTGGCCAGGTATTATATTGTTGCAAAATGAACCCACCGCCCATATTTTGGGCAAATGGGACGACATGAGGTAAATACAGAAATTTTCAGAAGAAGTAAAAAAAGTAAACAACAACCGAATGGAACATGATGAGAATTAGTATGGGAGTATACACCAGAAGTTTTTATCATGAAATAGTACATATTTTTTACTTATTGGATTTTAAGGATGTGTCTCTATATTCATTTTGAGTAGTTTATTTTAATTTGAAGTAGATATTCATGAAATATTAAATATAAACAGGTGGTGATGGAATTTTTCATATGTACGGATATTTATTGCTGAAAATCTTCAATTTTCAACTACTTTATTTTTCACCAGTGAAATGTTTCTTGAGCCCCTGCCAACATTTATAGTATTCCGGATTCAATTTTTCACAAGTTTTGGCGCCCCACTTCGTGACTGCCAGGCCCAAACAGCTCTCGAACATGAACGCCTGTAAAAAATGAAATGAAATGAGATTTGATGAACTATTATAAAACAAAAACATTTTGAATAAATGAGTTCTTTTCTGCTTATTATTATATGATGTCGTTAAGCGGAGCACGAAGTATTTTAATGGAGTGCTGTCTTTTAAATCACTCTAAGTACAACTTGTAGTTTAGAGAAATAAATATAATATCCAGTAATTTTTTACTTACGTTACTTATTAATAGTTTTCATCGACATCAAATATCCAGACTGAACCAAAATTTATTTCTCGATTATTGATGAACTAGAAACTAGACAAAAATTTAGCATAGAAAAAATATGAAAAACATTGTATTTTTGTGTATTCTCCATAATAAATAACTCTCAATGGTTTTTACGACTTGAAACTTTTGATATGTCATCGATGTCATCCAATCAAAAATTACTTTTCGAAATGGCGATTATAATAATAGAGGAGCCCAAGCGGGGATTTCGGGATTTACTAAAACGCGGCGGTTAAGTACCTGGTTAAGTACCTCCACCAAATATGAGCCCCATATATAAGGCCGCCTGTGAGGGATGAAGGACCATATTAGTAAAAAAAAATTGATCATCAGAAATTCTCGAGTAACATGAAATGAAAATTTAAAAAATTCCAAACCACGACGTTTCGATTGGTACTATCCACAATCGTCACGATTGCGAATACACAATCGTCTACGGACGTCTTAATTATATATAAAAAGAGTTTTGACGGTTCCTAATAATTACAGTCCGTTAAGTTGCTCAATTCGTGTTAAAAAGTTGTTCACCAAAAACTTATACACACGAATACTCACCGCAGCTCACCGAGTATTCGAGTTGTTGTTATGAGCAGAGAGGGTCGAAGAGAGGAGTCGCTGTATGTAACCTGGCCTGGATCGATTATCGCGAAGCATTTGATACAAGCCCTATCAGCCTTGAACAGACAACGGATAACCTCCAGGGCTAGTACTAGACTGTCACCAAGATTTAGCCAAAGCCTTGGTACATGATAACATTATCCTGAGGTGGGTTAAATGGCACGACAGGAGTAAAGGTAATCGCATTGCCGACTCTTTAGCCAAAGAAGCGACTGGACTTAGAATTTTCGGACCCAGTGGCACTTACGGCCGATGACTTCGATAATTGGGGAACTAGCCAAATGTTACACCCATGCTCAATCCTTAAAGAGATGGGATGGAATTACGGCGGGATGCAATCTTGCCAAGTTCACCTTGGGCAACCCTGGGAAGCTGGTGCCGAAGAAATATCTGGCGATGACCAGGAAAAATCTACGCTCAACAGTAGGATTTCTGACTGGCCACTCCAGTCCACACCTCCATAATATGGGGCTAGTGGACACAACTCTATGCAGGATGTGTGAACAAGAAGATGAGACTATCAGGCATGTCCTATGCGAGTGCCCGGAGTTATCGTCAATACAGAGTGTGTGTTCGGCGAGTCTTGGCCTACACCTGCCGATATAAAAGAGATGTCTCCCAGTGACCTGTCCACCTTCCTGGAAAGGACAGGATGCTCATCTTGCAATTGCTCAGATGCTTTGCGGTACCCGAAAAAATAGTGAGATGCCTTGAACAACTGATACCTCTCTGGCGAACTCGCTTCACCATAACATCTGGTTGAGCAAGAGTCCAAACAGAAAAGGTCACTTCTAGGAGGGATGTATTTCGGAGCGATTCCTTCAGAACCCTACTATTCTATACCTCACTATTGCCATTCTCCATTGCGCTGAGAATTACTCGAAAGTATAACTGTGGAACCCCCAAAAACCAGAGGCATAAAAGATCACCCAGTTGTTTTATACAGGTAATCTTAAATTTCATGCCTCTTGAGAAAATTATTTTCATCAGCTCTTGCTGGTGGTGAAAGACAACACGAAAGCTATCATTAAGAATCTTCTGAGAAAAATTGACCCCATACAGTGAGTCCTCCTACCTTTCATTTTTCACAAATCAGTTAATTCAAGTTGTTATTGCCTAATAGTAGTAATACCAAAGATGTTTGGACCTCTACAGCTGTTTCAGAGTCGGCCTTCCATTCTTGAGTATCCAGGACAAACCAGTCTCGATGTCAATTAAGGTACATAGTGGGACGGTATCTTGGTCGGTTGTCGTGGGTGGTTTGCTTCACTCAATCGACCGCTGTGTTAACCGGTGGTTCGAACCGCAAGGCTGAACGATCGATTTTCACTTGCTATCGTCCAACCCGTGTTAGGAATCACACGTCAAAAGGTAAGACCTCGTTATTCCTTAGCTCACACAAGTTTCGACTTTTGAGAGTTGTCGTTCGTACGGGGGCGATAGCTGGTTAACGGAAGAACAGTTTTTAACGGATTTTCAACATCCTGGCTGTCAGTAAGAATAGTGATCTGCTCTTTTCGATGATGCCTCAAATTAACATTCCCTGCACATTTCGTGGTTGCACGTATTTCAGTTTGGGAAACTGATGACTGTTGATCAAGCGGGTAATATATGTTGTTCCATGTTCGGTTTTCAACTCGTTTCTACCGATCGTGTTCTCGAGATATGCTTCTTTTATTCTTCGCTATTGAATGGTTAATTGAAATAATGTATTTTTTCGATAAAAATAAAATTATACAAACCTGTGTACCGTCGGCAACCCTAGAAGGCAGCAATTTTTCATGAGTCGCTGCTTCAAAACAACTCGAATCGGGACCGTGCGGTGTCATGATACTATGTAGGGTGGCTCCACCTGGAGCAAGACCATTTTTTTTGGCCTCGTATTCACCAAAAATCAGCCCCATGAACTCCGACATGCAATTTCGGTGATAGTAGGGTGGTCTAAAAGTGTGCTCTTGGACGGACCATCGTGGGGGGAATATCACGAAGTCTGCTATTGCCGTCCCTTTTCGTTCTGACTGACAAGTGAGGACCGTGAATATTGATGGATCCTGGGAAAAAAATGAGGGAGGTTTGATAAAATCCAATTGTTGTTATTCTGTTATAAGGTACTCGTAAATAGTTTTTGGGTTGCTGATGAATAGAACTCCTACCATTTTTTGAGAAAATCAGAACAAAACTTACTGATAAGTTTTTTTTGATTCTTACTATAAAAGCTGTACGAGGCAGTGATGCAGCACAAAAAGAAACCGTATTCACCATGCTGCCTTTTTCAAAAACAATATCTCTTAAGGAAAGAAGGAAATATTATATCCTGTGAAATTATTTTACCGGACAAGAGTTTTTCCACTCTATTAGTAACAATGTGACTTTCCTGAAATACTTTTTCCTATATACAAGAACTGCTGAAATTTTTTTTTCGCTTGAGATACTTATGAACCTTTGGTGTAGTAATGAGTATTACAGAAGTTTCTTCAGTTTAGTCTAATCAACAAGTTCAAAAACATGAAAAAATAAAGGTCCTAAAAATATGAGCGATAGCTCATTCGATTCGGAATCACCTCTAGAAAAATGTTTTTGAAGGATTTTGGTGCAGTTAAAAAATTGCAATTGTTATTAACAAAATAAGATTTAAAAAATGGTATTTAGTTTTTCGTTAATAACTCAAAAAATAATAATATTCGAGCAATTTTGAAAAAAGCTCGTTAAAGAGGAGGAAATTTCCGATAAAAAAGTCCCGACTCCCGAAACTCTCCATTATTTATAATTTTAATTTGACGTTGAAAATAGGATTCCGCGCGGCTGTTACGGCATGCGCGCGCTGCCGCTAAAGAGATTTTATCAAAAGAAATAATTTTTTTATAACATAAAATGTCATTTTAAAAATTTGAAAAAAATCTAGTATTTTCTTAATACTTGAATGAATCGAGTCCTGTAGAAAAAAAGTTTTATCACCATTTTTCAAAAAGTTATTCAATTGTTAACTAACACATTTTTTCCCAATCTCCGTTGGCATAAATAATGGGATAAAAGGTATGTTTAATTATTGGCCTATAGATTTTAAACTTCGTAGAGCTCTTTTGATATATATATACTTCATACGATCCTGCGATAAAAGTTCATAAAAATGTATTAATTTGTTAATTATGATTTTATATAACTATTGTAAAATGAAATATCTAAAAATTGTTGATAAATTTTTTTTTCAATTGATATTTAGCTATGAGGGAACAAACAGAAGTCGCTTGGGGCTAGATCTGGTCAGTAAGGCGAATGGTCAAGCAGTTCAAACCATAAATTCGTGGATTTTCGCCATAGCCACCGCTAAGGTGTGAGACGGTACGTTATCTTTTTAATTTTTTCCCATACAAAAAATAAGTTTTGACGATTAAAAGGTAATTAAAATCACCATGAATGAAAAATCGTTGTTTTCGATATTGTATATGTATCACGTATCGTACAAAAAGACGAATGACGGCACAACGCGAAGACAGATAGCTAATAGGCAGCAGCTACAGGTCTGACGCTGTGTGGTAAAAGTACTGACCCTGAGGGTCAGGACCCCCAGGACCCCCCTTACTTTTCATCCGAAAAAACAGTTTTTGCTTTTTTTGAAACAGCTTCCCTTTTGCAGTTCATTATTTTGACTGTCGTAGTTTTATTTCGGGTGTATAATGGTGTATCCAAGTTTCATCTACAGTTATCGATCGGTGTCAAAATTAGTATTTATTGCGTCTAAACTGCAACAACGGAACGTTGGAAATGTTCATTCGAACACTTTTTTGGTCTAACGTGGGCCAACGCGACATCCAACGCGCGAACAGCTTTCCCATGCCTAAATATTGGTTTAATATGTGACAAACATATTCTGTCGAGATGTTCATAACTTCTGCTATCTATCTCACTTCAATTCAGCGGTTCACGATTTGGTGAAGTTCTTGTCAGCTGTTGCAGTTTTTGGACATGTCGAACGTTCATCGCATTCAAAATTCAAAGCTCTTAGAGCTACGTTTAAATTCAGCTGCCGAAAATTTCACTGTGGTAAATGATGGTGCATACACAGAATCTAACTCATCTTTGATTTCCAGGCGTATTGCCTTTCTAAAACAAATATTTAATGACGTTTCCATACTCGATTTTGTCCATTTTCATAAAAACACTCACATCAACTAACTCAAACGACTGATGCATAACAATGGCACGTCCAAAATGGCTGAAACTTTGGTAAGTAATATTCACTAGCTTTTATTAACGAGTGCTGCTATTTTCATGTTGTGGCCGAAAACTTTTCAGATTACCCTCGTACTAACAGTAACTCTGATTATAAATTTTCTCTAATTCTTCATTGGGGAAATAATTTATATCAACGTGCTCATAATGTTCAGAATTATTTATCAGAAATAATAAGAATATATAGCTCTATTTCCAAAACTAGATCAGAACGAATTAAGTGAAAGTATTATGATATCAGTTAATTAATTAAATTCACCAATAAATTTGTTTCGTTTTTTGTAAATGAAGAGAACCGGAAAAAATATTATGAAACTAACCAAAAACGCGCATTTGGTGCGGTAAGTTCGTTACCAGGGCAAAATCGTAGAAAAGACATTCCAAGGCAATGAATTCCAAAGCGAAAGAACAAAGGCGTTTCTTTACGGGAACTGATAAATTCCAGTGGGGAGTGCTATAAATGGAATTAACATTCACGGCACACCTGATTCAATGTATTGGCCGTTCAAACGACAAAACAACACGGCCATCATCTTCAACAAACCGGAATATCGCTTGTTCCCCCGAATTGGGATGTTATGATAAAACAAAAAACCTCGACGAGTAGCCCGAAGGATATTGACCAGTGTCGCGATCGATCTCGCAGCAAGGCCAAACCGCGAAGAGAGAAAGTTCTCTCGAGCATATAAGTTTTATTGTGTCTTTGAATCGGTCCCAGTTAGGTGCAGCCAGCATGTCAACATTCTACAAGTTAACTTTCATCTTCTTTGCGTTCGCTGTAGTGAGTGGGGTGAGCGGGGCGGGTTCCAGAAAAAACCAAAGACCAGAACCCGAATCTGACGCAGAAGTTTCCGACCAGTGTCCAGAACCCGATGGATACTTCGCAGATGCCGAGCAATGCGACAAGTACTATCACTGCGATAACGGCAAGATAACCGAAAAATTGTGCCCAGATGGACAGGTTTTCAACGACTACAGTTCGGACTACGAGAAGTGCGACTTACCCATCAACATCGACTGTTCGGCCAGACCGAAGCTGCAGGAGCCCCAGCCCAGCGAAAACTGCCCTAGAAAACATGGGTACTTTGCGCACCCTCAGAAGAGTATCTGTGATAAATTTTACTACTGTGTGGACGGCACGTACAATATGATAACTTGCCCCAACGGGCTGGTGTACAACGAGAAAGCTGGTATTTGTTCCTGGCCGGATGAGGCTAAGAGAAAGGGTTGCACTTCTGACGAGGTTTTCGAATTCGCCTGTCCCAAGGTGGAAGAATCCGTAGGCCTGACTCATCCCCGTTATCCTGATCCCGAAGACTGTCAATATTTCTACGTGTGCATCAACGGGAATTCTCCAAGAAGGAACGGTTGCAAGCTTGGACAGGTGTTTGACGACGTCAGCAAGAGGTGCGACTGGGCGAGGCACGTGCCAGAGTGTGCTGGCTGGTACAAGGGTAAGCTCACCGACGAACAGCTTTACGAGTTGGAGAATCCCCCAACTCCAAGGCCTAACGCCACGAAGGTCAGCAAGAGGAAGCACAGGCCACGAAAACAGCCCGTGGAAGATGAAGAATGAAAGACCGAAACTTTCGATGTGTTTTGAATTTTAAATTATTTTTTGTGTAAGTATCGAAACGATCAGTTCACTTTGAGCTGAAAACGACTCTCAACAGTGATATTTGAAACCATCTTTTTTGTTTTTAGGACGAAATTGTTGAAATAAATTGGTTGAAATATGGATTGTTTTTAACATTACCTTTTTTTTGAACGAATTTAGGAACATGGTATTAGAAATAAATATACAAACATGAATAGTTACTACAAATATGGTATCAATAATTATGAAGTAATTTGAAGCAAATCTCATGAAATATTTTCTATACTTATTAACAAACTGTTCTGATTTTTTTCGTTTTTAAAAAGATTCTCATAAATTTCAACACTTTTACATATGAAAATGTAAAAGCATAAATATATATTTCATAACTTCATGATTGTGCTAGATTTAGAATTATTACAAGTTTGAACAAAGTGCTTCTGAATGATGTTGATTTATTTCAGAAAAAACCTTATATATTTGAGAAAATAATCGTTATAATTGTGCTGGCAACGTAAGTTTTGTTTTTAAACACAAGTGGCACTAACACATTTTTTATATAGTTTCGAATTAATGCTATAAATGTTAAAATGAACATAAAAATCAACATGAAAATATTCTTCGATTTTTTATAGAGAAATACTTATTATACATATATACATGTTATAGAAATATTCAGACAGACTCACTTTGATTTTCCTATTTAGAAAATATATAGAAGAACCGGAACCTGTGGAGTATATGAGACTTTTTTTACAGACCAGCGCCGTTTTTCTTTTTTGGCGTAGATAACAATAATTTCCTGATGATGGCAACTAACTTATACTTGATGAAACAACTTCCTTTGATAATAGTATTTTTAAGGTTCTTGTATGTATGAATTGAAATGATGTTGTGGCGAAATTTTAGTAAATTTTGTCTATTTCCAAATCAACTAGCGGTCAAAAAGTAAAGTGAAATTTTCAATGAAGATACAAGCAAAAAAAATGCATGTATTCTTTTGTCCTGTAAAAATTTATCGAGATGATTCAAAGTAGAAACACCTTGTTGAAAACGAAAAAGACCTATTTTTCAAAATCTTAAACAATTTTTATTTTTCAATACTTTTGAATACCTTTACATACAAGTCCATTCGTGGGGTACAAAAGTCATCAACTAAATATTTCATTATGGAGGAAATATACACTTTTTTAAATATTTCCGAAACACGGCAATTTCAAATTCTCAAACGATAATTTTCAAGCATATTTCGCCCCCTTACTATTTTTTTATTGAAAAATATTAAGGGCATTTTCAATGTCACTAAATAAACAAAAGAACATAAAATATTGTGAAACAATCGATTTTGTTTGATCTTTTGAAGTAGACTTTAGATTTTGTATGAACCCATAAAATAGTCAAAAGGGATCAAATCTAAAGAACGGGCATGCATGCCAGTCGATTTCACTGTGTCTATGTAGCCGTCTATTGGGAAAAATTTGAATGATATTTAGATTTTTACTTCCAATGGAAAATGTGATTTTGCACCGTCATGCTAATACCATCATCTAGGAAAAGTGTTTTCAACTTTATAACTGAGAAATCTTGCAGAAATCCAAGTAACTTAGCCACTTCAAGTAATATGAAAAAATATGACCCTGTCATTTGAGAACTTATGATTCTATTCCAAACGTTCAAACACATTTTTGAACTTTCAAGTTTAATTTTCGTGATAGACAAAATATACAATATTCCAAAACGTTATATTGGTGGATAGAGAATTCAAAACTCTCCCAAATGAGCTATCGCAGACACCCTCGTAATTTTTTTTTGAGGAGGTGTTGTCACTCCAAAGAGGTTCAAGAAAAAATAAAATTATGCACGAAAATGTTATTTTTGATTATATTATTCATACAATAGAATCAATACTAGAAATTGCACGTTAAAAGGTAAGCCCTCTTTAATCCTTAACTGAAACAATTTCGACTTTTGAGAGTTGTCGGTCTGAACAAAAAAACACGAGAAAGACAGATTTTATATAAAAAATGTGCTGAAAAGACAATAATAATAATATTAAATGTCGTTATTGTTTACAACTGATAAGGTTCAACAGTAAATGAAAAGTATGGAAACAAAAGGCAAAGTTCAAATTTTATAACGATGAATCGTTAATAATTGCTTTTCCACTTAACCTCAAAAAGTCGCTACGGTGTTTTAAGAGCATTATTATAAAATAATCCATTCTACTGTAATCATGGCATGACACGATTAGAATAAAGATAAAATAGATCACTGAGTTTCAAATAAATGTTTCCTGAATCTAATTTGAAATCGCTGAAATCCACTCTTTTTGATTGTTTCGGAAATATTATTATAGATCGCGCAAACTTGATAACTAAAACTGCATTGAGATTATGAACATCTGTCCGCTGAGTGATTTTTCCGAAACAATGGATGTCCGACATCGACGAGGATGACAGTGTTCCATGTAAGTGACATTTCACTTCTTTCATTAATTATATTTTGTATGAATCCTGTGAATGATATCTGATCCGAGTCCATCACGAATGCTTGAAGTACAAAATGAATAGAAAAGCGTGTTTGTATAATTCAATGTTCATATAAAAGTAATTGTTTTGAAAGCATTTTTTTTTCGTTTAATTCTATGTTTATATGAAAGAAGTTGTTTCTAGAGGGTTTTTACGATTTGTCTAAAAGTTACTTCTATGCATGATCTATACATCTTTGTAACGACTTTATTCCGAAATCAATTGCTTTCTTTCTTTTTTTTTGGAAAAGTCCCACATTTTTTGGTATAAATATTCAAGTAGAAAGCCAAACCCTCACTTTCCCAAAAATTAATCTCTCCTAAAAACATACCCCTTTCAATTTGAAAAAAACACATTTTAAACAGTTAGCTTATGATGACTTAACGTATCATACTTAATAGATGCACTGTATAAACCCGAACATATTTTTCAAAGATTATTGATTCAATCTATTTGGTCTTCTTGGAACTGCAATAAACAGTTTTAACATATGATTGTAATTGATTCTCGTGATTCATCAATAATTCATTAGAAGTTATGCAATAATCAACTCATCGCAGCTAGGTTTCGACGACAGAAAATCGTGATAGGAATGCATTCTTTTTTCCATTCCATGCACACTCCAACTTTTCCGTGTTTGACGCGTGTATATGGAAATGAAATGTTAAAAACATAATATTATAGCAGATATCACAGATACCATAAATGCCAACAGTAAAATATTTCTCAGAAGGATTGGGTTTGAATATGTTAGAAAGTTATTTGTATTCGATTATTGCCAATATCACTTATGTCACCTCTTGTGTGATTGAAATCGAAAGTTTGTAATGCTTATTCACGCAAACTTTCAATGAAATAAACACCGATGACGTGTCAAAAAAATTGTGTTGATTTTGTTATCCAAACAAAGACTTATTCTTTTCATCTTTTATAATCAACCGACTTGAAAGACACGTTTCTCGTTTTGACAAATATGTACGGTATACGTGGAATGTTGAAAAAAATAATGTGAATGTTCAAATTTCACGGTCTTTTTAACATTCGACTAGCGATTTTTTAATTTTTTTGTCCGAAACCAACACCGTAATCATTCCTTAGCCACCGTATTCACCAGTTTTGACCCCCTGTAACTTTTTTCTGAGATTGAAGGACGGCGTTTTACGAGAGAGAGTGCATATCTACTGCTTCGAGTCTTAGAAAAAACGCTGACACAAGTGTATTATATCTGAGGGGACAAAATATAAATTGATGAATAAATGAATATTTTTTGAGAAAGATGAAAATTCACCTAATTTTTGAACAGACAGTGTACTTCCAGAAATCAATAGAATCAATAGAAATATTTTATTCAAAGATGCGTTTCGCTACACGGTAGCTTCATCAGTTACCGGTACATCAAACTATTCTACTTCATATAACAGTAGGCAATTAGTGAATTTTACCAAAAGTCATCATTATTAAGCTAGGATACCCGGCTCTGCTCAGGGAGTTGATACGGGATTGTGTAGAAGTTGAAATAAAGGGGCAAACTTTAAATTATAAGCACCGTATAGAAGTAAACACCTTCTATACGGTGTTATAATAATAGGGGAGCCCAAATGGGGATTTCGGGATTTACTAAAGCGCGACAGATTAATATACAGGGGGATACCTTGTACCCGGTTAAGTACCTCCACCAAATATGAGCCCCATATATAAGGCCGCCCGTGAAAGATAAAGGATCAGATTAGTAAAAAAAATTGATCATCAGAAATTCTCGAGATTACATGCGAAAAAGTGTATATTCCAGTAATCTGACAATTTGAGAATGACGTAAGGAAAGGGGAGGGCAGCATAGTTGTCATTTCGACATTCTCGAGCGTAGCTAATTTTTTTTTATTTTGAAGGAAATAATTCGAGGATAACGAAAAATATATAATCTGACGATTTCCGCAAGCCGAAATAACAAAAATTCGTCGATAAAGTTTAATGCGTGCAGCTGTGTGATACCTATATTTCCCTCTACGAGTTTCTATTTCTCTTTCACTTTTTCTCTATCTATTACTCTCTCACTCCGTCCCCACCCTGAATACTGTTGCCATGACGCCATCACAGCTAATCACAGAGACTCGTTCGTGATGAAGATGATGATTAATTAATCAATTGATTATGAAAAATTAAATATTTTTGAGTATTTGAAAAAATTATTTTCTTATAAACATAAGTATTCTACTTAAAAAACATACACTTATTTATTTGCATGCTATTTCCTGAGCTTTTCAATTATTGAAGTTCAATATTTTAACAAAAATTAAAAAAAATTGTCAGACTAGGCGAATCCCTCTAGATAATCGTCAGATAATGAGAAAGCACGTCTAGAACATAAAGATGAACCATATATATCTTAATCTGACGCGCTTGAGTATTTCAAAATGGCGAATTTTTTTTGCACATTATAATAATGGCCGCGAGTTTGCGTCAGATCGAAATCGTCAGGTTATTGAATGAGTTTTTTTTTGTTGCACTCAACACTCTCTTAGAAAATCTGACGCGCTCGATTAATTTTTTTTTTCTTTTCACTTTTAACCCTTACGTACAACCACCCGCATCAACCAAACGATCAGATTAACATACGAACATTATTAAAAATACGTAGGACATCGAAGCTATCAATATCTGACGCGCTCGAGTATGTCCATGCAACATACTTTTTTTACATGTTTAAAAATCTATAGCCACTCCCCCCACCGATGAAAAGTTATATATTATATAACATTTTTTTCTTCTTATTATCTAAGCTTTGCAACCTAATATGTCTCTATGACGCTCGAGGGTCTTGGGCTCGAGGGTCGAAGGGTCTTGCTTTGTTATATTCCCCTTCTGATGGGTAGCCCCGCCAATGCAGCGCGCGACGAGTATGGAGGTCTTGGTGATCGAGAAAATTATTTGTTTTTGTATTTTTTCTACGCCAGAAATTTCTGTTTTACTTCGTATTGAAACGTGACGGCAAACCGCCGTCCTTCATGGGTCTCTTCAATCTTAAGAACAGGAAAAGTCACAGTGGATTAAATCTGGTGCATACGGTAGCTGTGGCATGATTACGTTGTTGTTTTTGGCTAAAAAATGACGAACTAGCAATGACGAGTAAGTAGGTGCATTATCGTGATGGAAAAGCCATGAAATGTTTTTCTGCGATACCGGACGTTTTCTTCAAATTGCTTCTCGTAAACGGCGCATAACTTCAAGATGATACTCCTTACTGACCGAACAAAATACGTCGTCTGTTGGAAATATATGGTAAATGCGATTAGCGATGCTCTCTTTCATGATCAATAAGGGCTGTAGGGTATTTAATATCAATATGTGTTCTGAAACTCGTGTTTGGCCAATATAGCATTTCGTACCGTTTCCACAGTTCAAATTGTAAACTATCTTAGATTGTATATCTAGCGGTGATTCAGTTTCATGTTTGGAGAAGAATATTTTCAAGAAGTATTCTCATTTGGAAACGCCACTTTGATTTGTTTGTTTCTAAGATAAATTTTCAACATATGGAGTTTTATTGTTGGTCTTAGAGTGAGTGTTGATCTTAGATATTTTGTTTTCTACAGTGTTTTTATATGTAACTAAAGCGTCTAGTGATTTTTCAATTCAGTTGTTGTTTTAACATGGAAAAACTGATTTGTTGCGTAATTTAATGACAGTTATAAAGTGTGTGACATGTATGTTTCACCTGAAGAAGAATTTGATTAAATTTGAAACGTTAGCAAGAAATCAACGTTTTTCTAAGATGATTTGATCCTATTACCCAACGTCATTTGGATCATTAGACTATTAAACTAAACATAATAATGTCATTATATCAGTCGGTCAGTCGGTAGCCGGTCGGTTCGACGTGGGTACTTTATTCACTCACCCAAATCGACCGCCGTGTTAGTCGGTGGTTCAAGTCCCAGGCTGAACGATCGATTTTCACTTACTATCGTCCAACCCGTGTTAGGAATCACACGTTAAAAGGTTAGACCTCGTTAGTCCTTAGCTCGCACAAGTCCCAACTTTTGAAGGTTGTCGTTCGTAGGGGTGCGACAGCTGGTTAACGGAAAAACATATTTTAAACAGATATCTATTATGACTGCTGTATGCTTGTGCTTCTGCAACAATGGTAATAATAGATGCATTTTCTAAAATTGTATTCATAAATGGGTTATTATAGAGGTTATGTAGTTATATGGTCAGAATGAAAACAAACGAGTATTATGGACAGGCGATCAGTCTGAAAACTGCAAACTAGACATCCAGAGGAAAGAATAAATAATAGTTTAAAAAACTAAAATAACACGCTTTAATAGCAACATAAACTAAAAATTAACTAATTTAAGATTGTGTTCAACATCGATTAATAAATCCTATGGCTTTGATATTCAGCACTGCATGCTATTTTACAACAATTTTTTTGTAAATAGATCAATTCTGATTTCAGACTTATTAAAAGTCTTTAGTTACATCAAACCATAGGACTTCTTATTGATGTTGTACACAACCTTAAATTAGTTTCGAATTAATTCGAATTGTACCAAAGAAGTTATGTACAGCGCCATCTGCCGCGAATAGATCAAGCAATAATGTCGATAATTCTGGAGTTACAAAAAAAAACTGACAAACAAACAAACATACATACAGCTGAAGCTAATATAAAGGGTGAAAAAAGGGTTATACTTACACAGTGGTCGAACGAAACCGAGTTGATGACCATGAATTTGCTCAGATCATATTTGTACGGGACATAATTTCCGTGCCAAGCCACAACATCGAACGGACTGTGATCTTGCTCGCACACAAATAATTTACCCTGATATTTCGAAACAATCTCATAGTTATCACTGACGTCTTCATAATGAGCCACGGGAGTGAGGAAATCTCTCGGATTTGCCAATCCGTTGGCCCCGATTGGGCCCAAATCTGGTAAGACGAAATGCTGCCCGAATACCTCCAGCACATACCCCCGAGAAGGTTGGGATACTTCTATACGGAATCGCATTCCTTGTTGAATAACAGCTATTTCGTTGGGTTTGACTAGGAGCCTTCCAAATTCAGTGGTTATTTTTAAGTCGCCAACCTGTGGAACTGAAAACAATAATATGGTATTACAATCTGAGAACAGGATGAACTTATACTGATAGAAATTAAAGAAGGATTTTCCTGTAGTGGTTGTTTTTTATCCTTAACAAAAAGAGTCTTGTTTTTAGGTCTTCACGTGGATGAGTGTCTTACTGAAGTTATCACTGTCAGATGCTATATTCCAAACTTAATAGCTACCCGTATGAATTCAGAAATCTCAAACTGGTTTTAAACATTGTTCAACTTCTGAAATTGAATCATGCGCAGATAGACTTCAGATTGAGATATGTTTCTGGGGATCATCTAGATCTAGCTCATCAGCAAGTGTATTCATTGCCCGAAAGCGAATTATTCGTATTTTAGCTCGTATATCAAAAGAGTCATCTTGCAGGGATCACTTCAAGAAACTAAGGATTTCAACGTTACCTTCTGTCATTGATTATTTTCCAGTTCTGTTTGTATTTATATAAAAATAATAGTGATGACGAAATTTACAGGCTGTATCCAGTGTCATGTAGACACTCCAAACTCAAAAGTCCACGGTCTCCCTATTGCCGGGGGAAGTACAACCGTGGAACGGACGATTTGGGATGCAATACAAACTCCTACAGAGATGCATCATTTTTCAGGTCATTACGTAGAGTTGATACAGCTCCTCCCGAGTCCACTTCACTACTCCAAACGAGTAGAGTAACATTGGAACGGCAAGCATATTTGTTGCAGCAATTTTGTTCTTCCACGTCAGTTCCGATGACCAGATCTGTCGAAGTTTTTGCTGATACTTGCCGCGGAGAGAGTTCTTCACTGCTGTTACCTCTTGTGAGTGGCGTTGTTCCACCCCGAGATGAGTATACATCTCTCCGGCATCCAACTGGTGTAGGATACTTCCATCTACGAGCTGCACATCCTCTCCGTAGTCCCCGCATCGTCCTCTTTTGAGATGAACCATTGCACATTTGTCTATCCCGAATTTCATACCGATAGCATGCGTGTACTCTTCCACCACCCTCAAGGATTGATGCAGATCCTTCTCTCCAGAGGCATAAAGCTTAAACTCATCCATATAAAACAAATGGGTGACCTTGTGCCTCCGGTTTCTGAAGGTGCCACAGTTATAGCCTCGAGTACTTCTGAGCGCAGCGGATAATGGCAATAGTAAGATGCAGAAGAGAAGGGGACTGAGGGAATCACTTTGAAATACACCCCTTCTGAAAGTGACCCACCCTGTTTGGACTCTTGCTTGTCCAGATGTTATATGGTGAAGCGAGTTCGCCAAAGTGGTATCAGTTGTTCAATGCATCTCGAGGCATCTGAGCAAATGCAAGATGAGCTCATGCGATATTGTTTCAAATGCCTTACGGTAATCGATCCAGACCATAGAGAGGTTACGCTTATATTGTATCGATTCCTGCCTTACATTATTATTTTAGGTACCCGCCTCTTTGAACACAAGAGAAATTGTCGCCCCGGACAAACCGACAAATCAGTTGTAGCAGAACATAATCTCAAAAAACAAGGCATTCTCGTTATCTCTTTCGAAGATACAGTAATACTCGATATAACCCAAAATTACTATCCAATAGTACCTACAGATAGAGGGAATAAAAATTCAAAAAGACAGATAATTTTAATAGAAAAAAATAGGCAATGAACATTAATTAAATATGGCTATCTGCTCTTAATTGTAGTTCCTACGTTGGCAAGAACGAAAACAACAACTCGAGCATCAACTTCGACCGTTACCTCATCGCCTTTGATAATGTCTACCGCAATGGTAGGCGAAACATCAGACATAAAATCCTGTAGACCACGCCAAGAAACGCAGAAAAACGCTTTGACACATTTGAAAGTACTTACCAATCAGAAAGTCGCCATCGGCATTATAAAAGGCTCTATTTCTCATTGAAGTGTTACAAGAATACACGTGAATTGCCAAACCATGTTTACTTCTGGAATCACCTGCTCCACAAACAGTATTCAATCCTTCAATGAAGTCAGTTGATGTGGATTGTGGTGGCAGGTCGAAAGGATTCCAGTGCAACTGAAAAACGTCAAGTGATCAGTCACACCATATTTTCCATTTTTTTCTTTACTAAATGTCTTTCAAAAAAAGCTGTTGAAATTTCGTGATATTCTCCTCATAAGTTTGTGAGTTATTGTGCTAAAAGTGACACTACTGTTGTTATTTTCAAAACAATGGATCAAAAACAATTTCGTGTTTTAATTTTACACTGCTTCTTGATGGGGAAAATATACCATTCAATTGAACGTTAGTTTGCTGACTTCAAACGTGGTCGTAGAGACACCGAATGATGCACAACGCAGTGGAAAGATTATGGCCTCAGTATTTTGGGATGTGTGTGGTGTAATATTCATTGACTATCTTGAGAAGAGAAATACCATCAACAGTGAATATGATATAGTGTTATTGGACCGTTTGAATGCCTTAATTGCAAAGAAACGACCGCATATAGCAAAGAAAAGTTGTTCCATAAAGACAAGGCACCGTGTCACAACTCAATCAAAACAACGGTCAAACTACATGAATTGAACTTCGAATTGCTCCCACATCCACCGTATTCGCCAGATTTGGCTCCCATCGCCTACTGACGTTTTCTTTCTTAGGTTCGGGACTATTCAACCCATGTGTTACGTACTCATGTTTCAGAATCATCAAAATCATAAATCATCATATTACCTGATTTGGATCTGGCTCCTCTTCCGACCAATTGTGTGTGATATTTCCTTTGTTGAATGGTTTGAATGGATTATGGACAACAGACGGTCTTATTCTGTACAGCCAAGTTCTTTTATTTTCTAATCTGGGAGCTGTGAAGGCACTTCCTGAGAGCTGCTCCGCATACAAGCCATAAGGACACTTCTGCGGGCTGTTTTGGGCTTTTGGTAGTGAGTCTGGACATCTTGGATCTTCTGAAGTGAATTCTGACCCGAAACCAGTCAAGTACTGTTGAAATGTGAGTAGTTCTGGCGTCACTTTTATAGTGTCAATCAATTTGGCAAATTTTTCCCAAATTGGATTCAATATCGTAGCCTCGTAAGATGTATTACCGTAAGACGGCCGAAATTGGTATTGAATCACTTGTAGAGATGAGTTACGCCTACGCAAATCAAAGATGAGTTGGATTCTGTGTGTGGGGACTTTGCACCATCGTTTACCACAGTGAAAATTTGGGCAGCTGAACTTAAATGTGGCAGTAAGAGCTTGGGAGACGAGGAACGTTCGAGACGTCCAAAAACTGCAACTATCGACGAAAACATGGCCAAAGTTCACCAAATGGTGCTAGACGACCACCGAATTAAAGTGAGAGAGATACCAGAGGTTACGAACATGTCAAAATTACGTGAATTCCATTAGTTCGGACTTCCATTGTCTAATATATAAAATTATTTGAAATCCCTGAAACAACTAAAAAAGTAGAATCAAAAATGAATAGTCAGTGCCATTGCTTTTCGAGCTTGAAAGCCGTGGATTTTTGGAATTTCTTCCTGACGTTTTGCTAGCGCGAGTGGTTAGCTTCTTCAGACGTTTAACCATCATGGCTTGCTGTCCTGCTGTTCGAGGACTACCTTTTAGGCTTCGTAAAGCGTATTTATGCCTTGTCAGGTAATCAGTTGTATTTGTGCCTGTATTTATACCTGCATTTGTACCTGTATTCGTACCTGCACTTGAACCTGGAACATTAACAATCTTGCTGCCTGTTATCTTGTTCGTTATTCTCGAATTCCTTAAAATGGGGTTCCATATTTGATTGACGTTCACCGCTTCTCCTTTTCAGTTAGAATTATCCGTGTGTTTGTGGATCTCTATTGCCTCCCGTACCAGTCGGCTATGGTATCCCTGGTTGGGGGCAATTAGTTCTGTGTTTTCAAACAAAATTCTGTGGTCTCCTTCACTAAAAGCGTGTTCTGCCACAGCTGATTGTCTGTTTGGCCTAGTCTGCAGCTCCTTTTATGCTCTTTTAGTCTTGTTCCCATGGATCGTTTGGTGGTTCCGATATATACCTTTCAACAAGTTCACGGAATTCCGTGCACTTGTGGAAAGCCGTGGGAATGAAGTGTTTTCTGCGGCTTTCATTTAAACCTTTTTACATAGGAATCATATTTTGAGTAATTGTTATGGAATTAAGTAAGTAAGTATGTATGAAAGTAAGAAAAGCAACAGTGACCAAGAGAAAAATCGGCGATAATCATAAAGTGTCTTGTGGAGTTGTAATTTTGAATTATTGAAAAAAGTTTTTAAATTTGAATGAGCTTACCATTTATTTTAAGAAGAACCCACATATACAAACGTGCCTAACATTGGTGACAGTGAGTGTTCATGACAATATCAAACTACCTACCTTTTTTCAGCTAGAACAAAGGAAATGTTCAACAGCGGATTTTGAAAACTCTTCATTCCGTTTAAAAAAATCGGAATAAAGTTCTACAATCATCCGCCAGAATGATGTAGGTGTCACTGGACCCTAAAATTCTTAGTATAGCCGCTTTCTTGGCTAAAGAGTCGGCAATGCGAGGATAATGTTATTATCTACCGAGGCTTTGGGTAAATCTTGCTGGCACTCTAGTACTAGCTCTGAGGTAACAAGTTGTCTGTTCAATGCTAATAGAGCTTGTCTATTATCAGTGTAGATTGTAATGTTTTTGCCAGAAATTCCTTTCCTTGTTGTTTCTTTTGTGGCAATTGAGATACCAACCAGTTTCATTAGAATCACGCTGATGTTTTTCCCCATTCCCCACTTAATCCTTAGGCTTAGTGACCTGGAGTAAAATCCACATCTTGGGCCTTCTTTGGTTTCTGAGCCGTCTGTATATATGCGTATTGCATTTGTAGAATCTTACTCTGTGTTCTGTTTCATTTGTATCTTGTAGGGTTTATAAAACATAAACCTAGGTTCAATTGCATCACTGGTTGCCTGCAGCAGATGTTGTCCAGTAAGCGTTTCTGGCCATAGGCTCAGTCTCAATCAGTAATCATGGTCTTTTTTTTCATGGATGTTCGTTTTTTCTAATTTCTGGGTGGCTTATCGGTGTCCAACCAGTGTCCTGAACGTTTCCTGTTGTCGTAGAGTATCCACTTTCCATAACATGTGACGATCCTTTCCAAAAAGGGATCGTTTTGGTTGCGGAAAAGCAAAGAAGAACAAACCTCAAAACTTGACATTTCTGTCGATCGTTCAAATCTTGGGGCATCCACTGTTCGAGTTTTTTGACCTTTCCAAAACGTTTTTAAACCATCAAAAACCGCATGGGAGCTGAAGCCCAGTTCATCCGCCATCCCACGCACCTTTTGTGATGGGTCAGCCTCCAACAGGGTCCTAAAATCCTTTTCCTGGAATACTGTAGGTCATCATTGCTAAATGCCGGCAGTGCCGGATCTTCCCGAAAACTTCTCTACGAGTTCAAGTTGAACTCGTAGAGAAAAATTGACCGAAAATCGCTGAAGAGTACAAAAATTAAAATTTGAAAAAATGAGCACCATCAACGTATAAAATAAAAATCTCTATCGATAAGTATAAACCACGACACAGTAGAACAAATATTTATTGAGATATGGAACTACAAAAAGACATGACATTATAACGGAGGAAACTTTTGGAACCACCTAATAATATGAACAAATCGAAACTAATCTAAATTTGCCAAAAAGAAGGTCACATTGATATATTACTCTGATCATTTAGAAGAACTACAGTAATCTCGTAAGCTTATATCTGCCGGAGGCAGATATAAGTTTATGAGTAGTAGTAGTAGAATGAGTAGTTTCAATGAATTATAACAATGACTTTATTCATAAAAAAGAATAATTATAATCATACAAACAAATAATAGCTTTGTTGAATAAAGTAAAATGGCAATAAGTGCAGAAGCACTTGTTTCTTTACTTTACAGACACTTTTTTTAAAATAATATTGGGGCTATAAAATGGCCAAATTGTAAACCTAGAAGGTTAACGATCAGAAGGGTGATATTTTTCAATTCATAATAGGTACTGTTGTAAAAAAATTTATGTTATATTTCGAGACGTACGATGTTAACCTTTTTTTAAGGATTTTTTCAAAAACTTTGTTCAGGTGTGTAGTATTTACATGAATCAGTTGTGTGATTCGATATATTTAAAGCTTGAAGAAGCACAATACTATAGGAATGAAGCAAATGTAAAATGTAGCACTTTTAATGCCAATGGATTTAGCCTAGGATCACGTATGTTATTTTTGCTCACAACACGTATTTTCTGGTCTGCGAAACCTTCACATCAATCTCACAACTATATCGTAGATTGTTGCTATCACCTTTCTGTTCTCGTGTTCAACATACTTGATCTGAGGAAGGCCTAGGCTTTTTGATAAGCCGTGGTCTTCAGTTTTATTAAAACAGGCACCACGCTTTGGCCTATTCCTATGTACAGTGGTCCCTGGGGCTTCAAAGTGTTCTTCGATGTCATTCTCCACAGAAATTTTGAAATATTGGATGGATAAAATAATCGAGATTTCTGAAATTTGACGTTACTACAAAAAAGTGCTATATTGGTGGTAAGGAGTGTCTTCCAAATTGATATGTGATGGCTATGTTTTGATTTTTTCGTTACTTGATACACATCAGGCGTGAAAGGTCGATTGGCTGTTCAATTCATTGGATACGGACTTGATTTTCGGAATGAAAAAGTGAAAAAAATCATCATTATTTCCAAATAATAGTGTGTTTCACAGACCTCGGTAAACTTCTTTTTGAATTAATTTAAAAATATGCCTTGTTTTGTCATTTATTATAAGTATTAGTTTAGATTGAACATGTATGAAGATATGAAATTCTACTGATATAAGTAGTATTTTAATTTCGTTAAGTTATTTTTTTGTTTATAAAAACGACAAAAATGTCAGTACGACAATGAACATCATTGTTCACTTAGAATATTGTACAATTTTACCATTCATTTCAATTCAATTTTATTTTCAGAACCATTTTACATACAATCATTAATATCAACACAATCAGTAATGTGAAAATAAATAATATAAATAAAATAATGGATAATAATTAGTTGTTTGAGTTTTTTTTTCAATGACTCACTGAAGTAGACTCACGCTAGGAAAATTTAACCTGTTTTGTGATGTCTAAATCAGGGTGGCGTTTGTACAATTGTATGTCTCATGTATAATTGTATTAATATGGTAAGTGAAGCTTTCTTACATTTTTCATAGAAAAACGATAAAACAGAGAATTTAAAATTGGGGTTCAAATGAGATTGGATAATTTGAATCATTTCGATTGGGGTATAACCACTTATTGTATTATTATTGTTAAAATTCGGTGGTGTCTGTGTAGTGCTCATATACACAATATATACAAAACATAAGTAAGTATTTATTTCAGTATGAAGTTGGAAATTTTTCTGGGTGATTATGTACATACTTTTTCGCCTCTTTTTTGAATAGTTTGAAGAATGTTATATCTTTTAAATTTTTAGGTAAGACGTTGAATATTTTTGGACCATAAACGAAAAAAGAATTCTGGGTAACCGTTTTATTAAATAATTCAATTTTTACGTCCTGGTTCATTTTTGATCTAGTATCTCTTGAATGTTTCTGCGCGAAATATGTTCTTTGATGGAACATTCTTATTAGGCAATGATAAATATTGATTCGACAAGAGAGGTATAGAGCATTATAATTTTTTTTGACAGTATGTCACGTAGTTCATAAAAATTGTGCATCAATACTCGGAGCATAGCATATTATATCGCCTATGAAATTATTGATTTTTGTTATACTGTTAATGTAAATAAGAAAAAGTATCGGTCCCAAAACGGTCCCTTGTGGTATACCAATTTGTACAGTCAGTTCGGTACTTATTTCATTTCCAATTTTCATTCGTTGGATTCGATTTGATAGGTAGTTTTTCATCAAAGCCAAAGCATTGCCCCGAATACCATAGTTGTTCAATTATTTCATTAATAGTTCATGATCAACTGTATCGAAGGCCTCGGCCAGATCCAGGAAAACGGCCAAGCATTTGGTTGCCTGTCCATGGCCTTCACAGTGGTTTCGAGAAAATCCATTATGGCATTATCCGTGTTTGAGTTTTTCACGTATCCAAATTGCCTGTCAGTTATTATATGATGTTTATCAAAAAAATTAAGTAGTCTTTTTTTGACACATTGTTCAAAAATTTTGGCTAGCGTATTTATGATAGATATAGGTCTATAGTTATTAATTTGGGATTTTTTTNCTCTTTTCATCATGATCTCCTACTACATAGTAACGGCTACATCCATCAATTTATTAATATAAAGTATTCATGCATCAATTTCTTCATCCCAAATATCAATCTTTTGAGTTGACCCGTTCCAAAAATAAAAGGGGAAGGGATACTAAAGAAATGCACTGTATAATCAATAGTCATAGTCACGATCATAGTCATTTATTTTCACCCTTTAACATACAAACTACGTTTGACACTTAATATTTCGTATAAATATACGAGTACATGTAGTATAAATTAATCACATTTAGAAAATATGAATGAATACTTTTGATCAGAGATAAATCAGTAATATGAATTTTATTTTCTCTATTTAAACATAATTTACAGCTCACATACAGGTTCATTACCCTTTGTGTGAGTATGGATGCACCGATGTAACTCAAGTATAGTCGAAGTAAACGATATTGTGAACATATTTAAAGTTGTCGGCACTCTCGAAGGAAAAAAAAACAACACTAGCACTGGTGACATGATGATAATCAACGATGTCAATTTACAGGGTTGTGTGGTATTGTTTTTGACTATCCTATATCTATATCTGTTTAAAAAATCTGTTTTTCCGTTAATCACCTATCGCCCCCATACGAACGACAACTCTCAGAAGTTAAGAAAGTTGTTCGAGCTAAGGACTAACGAGGTCTTACCTTTAAACGTGTGATTCCTAACATGGAATACGTGGACTGTTCAAAAAAATAGGAGAATGTTCAAATTTCGCGGTCTACGTTGGTACACTTGTCCCGAATGTTCAGAGTTTAAGCTGTTCAACATGTTTAGTTTGTTGGTTGGGAGGCATAAAAGTTAGAGGTGCTTTGCATGTTCGGAAATTTTCTACTACCGAAAAAAGTGGGTGAAAGAATTTGCATCAAATTTTGTAAAAAAAATGGAATCAAGTGCTCAGAAACACTTGAATTGTTGACAGTGGCACACGGTAATTGTACTCTGACTCAGAAAAATGTTGAATTCGATTACCGTGGCGTAGTGCATCAGGAATTTTTGCCACATAATCGTAAGATCAATTAGGATCATTATTTTGAAGTTATGCGCCGCTTGCGCATAATACGAAGAAAACGTCCTGTATTGTGGAAAAATAATGCATGGCTTTTGCATCGCGATAATGCACTTGCTCACTTTTCATCGCTTGTTCGTAATTTTTTGGAAAATAAAACACCTTAATCATACCTTGGCCACCGTATTTACCAGATTTGCCCCCCTGCGACTTTTTGTTGAACCCAAGACTGAAGAGCCCAATGAAAGGACGGTGTTTTGCGACGATTGAGGAGGTAAAACCGGATCGTTGATAGAGACTACTTTGAAGGGTACAGAATAGAAATTGATGAATAAATGAATAATTTTTTGAGAAAGATGAGAATTCACCTTATTTTTTGAACATACATACCATACATTTTGATTTATGAATTATGAGTTTGTTGAACATTTTTTCTGTTGATTTTTTTAGAATAGAAATTGATGAATAAATGAATAATTTTTTGAGAAAGATGAGAATTCACCTTATTTTTTGAACATACATACAATACATTTTGATTTATGAATTATGAGTTTGTTGAACATTTTTTCTGTTGAGCCGAATGAGCCGAGAAGTTCGGTATTGAGCATATTGATTGAGCATTCTAATTGATTTTTTTTGAATTTATTGAGATTGGATTGGATGAAAGTCGATAAAAAACTATTCATAATAATTATTCTATTTTATTGATCTATCATTCATGAAACTGAAATAAAAAAATATCATAGTATGGATGCTCCTTGACTTGGTTTGCAGATGTAGAAAGTTGGATTTCCTTTATATTTCTTGGTTATGTTCTCTATCACTTTTTCTGCTACATGTGCATATACCTGAAACCAATGAAAATTTTGTTAATTATAGTTTTCATTCACTCTCAAATACTTTGATAACAATACTCGTACGTGGTACGAAATTAGCTGATTTAAGTGCGATAATAGAAGACCGACTAACAATGATGTATGGAAAAAATAATAAAAATTATGTTAGGTCCTGAATGTTTATATTTCTAAAGATCAAAAGTCATTAAGACCATAAATGGATACTAAAGCTATATAGAGTGGTCCAACGAAAAGTATGCACCTTGCTTTTCTCCTTTTTTTGTAACTTAACTTTGTAACTTCCACCTCCATTCCTGTGGAGGTGGAAGTCGCTGTTTTGGGACATGTTGAATTGGATCATACTCAAAGTATGACCTGTCCGAGCATTTTTGCTTTAAGTTACAAAAAAAGGAGAAAAGCAAGGTGCATACTTTTCGTTGGACCACTCTAAACTGACGCTCACAATAAAAACACCCAACTTTCATTCGTTCTAGCCTGTTTCACAGGTGAACATCGAGAATTATAATAATTCCTCCAAAACATCATTTCCATTCACCAAAACATGAAATTAACAATAGAACTTGAAACCAATAATTCGATAATATTTTGTAGAACTGATTAGCAATGCAACTTATACAAATTATCGACCTCAGTTGATAGATATTACTGATTGGTAAAACAAGTAGTTTTAAGAACAGGTAATCACCAGGTACATACTTCATAACATAATGACTTGATTTCATCACTGGGACAAGACAAAATTTCAAAAACTCTGCAATCTACAAATAAAAACTCTTCTTTGATAATAGCCCTAACTTAACAGTAGGTAATCATAGATTGAAAACGTATCAAAGTTATATACAAAATGAATCTAATCTTACCAAAGTAACAGTACATCCTCCAAATCCACCCCCGGTCATTTTGCTACCCAGAACTCCTTCAACTTCGAGAGCCAGTTCAACCAAGGTATCTAGTTCCGAACATGACACGCTGTAGTCATTTTTGAGCGAATAATGACTCTCCGTCATCAGTTCTCCAAACTTCTTGTAGTTCATTTGTTTGAGCATTTGCGCTCCGTCAGTGGTCCTCTTGTTTTCGGTCACGATGTGCCTTGCTCTGGATAATATATTGTTGTCTGTGTTGATAGATCTCAAATCTAAAATCAGAAGAAGAGTTAGTAAAGTATATTTCTGTTAGTGAGGTTATTATTGGATTGGCAAGGGATTCAGTGAAGTTTTCGAAAATCATTAATATTACCATACCGCTTGAGGTTGTACCTTCTTGAATACCATTATTGGTGAGTCTACACTATTACTACGAAAATTATGACACTTATGTGAAGCTATCTCTCGAGACGGTTCCAAAATATCAGATTACTTTAAAAGTTTTGTTCATTTCTATGAGTCTACTTTAAACTGTGATACCTCAGTGAATACTTATTCAATTTAATAAAAATTAGCACCATTTTAATCAATGTACTTTTGCCAACGTAACACGAATCGATTAATACCGTTAGCATAAAAATTGCGTACTCAGGAATTGATGAAATCGACGAAGGCCGTGCTTGTAAAGATGGTAGAAGTTTAGCGAGACGTAATGGTAGTAAGTCTGGAAAGCAAGTAATTGAGAGTGGAGTTCCTCAAGGATCAGTTTTGGGCCTGACTCTATTTCTCATGTATATTAACGACCTCACCAACTTAGTCATCAATGGTGAAATTACTATTTTTGCAGATGATACATCGATTCTATGGCACAACAAAAGCTCTTCAGAGCTTAGGTACCACATAAGCATAGATATAGAAAAAGTTGAGAATTGGTGTGATTCCAATCTTCTAACTTTCAATATAAGCAAAACAAATATCATAACATTCAAAGGCGACTTAGATGATGTTTATTTGGACAAGGAACAAATCTCCATTTCTACGGATAATAAATTTCTGGGGCTTCTGATTGATAATAAATTGAAGT